GGTGCAGAAGCTCCAGCCCTACTTAGAAGGTAGAGTCCAGATGGGTTCTAATATTTACTAATGTACATGCCCTCTTAAATACTTCAGAGCAAAGAAATGGTGACCCTATATGGATCTTCTACACTCTTTTGAGACTTAAAAGACTTTGTTGCCATGGTGGTGTGGTATATCCTATAAATGCAAGGGATTGAGGACCATTCAAAACTTTCAGGATTGGGATGGGTGTCACCTTTGAGATATTTGGACATTCAGGCTGCCTTTGTTGAATGTATCATTACTAGGAATGTATCGTTCTTTTATTGTTGCTGTACTGGTTCATGGGTGTGATGAGACTACCCTAAAAGGCAAGATAAAATCATATCAAAGAAGTAATCAACATGAACTGAGCAGAATTGTCTCAGAAGAGGGCTCTCTTCTCTGCCTCCTCATGTTTTCCCCCAAGCTCCTAAATATGCATGGCAAATTCTGAGAGTTTCATATGTACCTATATTTATACAATGTGGGAAAATAGAGCATTTCTTTGAACCAATTCTCTCCCCAAATAAGCGATCAATACTCACATTTATTCCAAGTTCTTTTATCCGGAGGAGATTTTGCATTGACTAGATACACCAAATGCTTTTTTTTTTTTTTTTTTTTTGGTACCACTTGGATTTTATGTTACCTTCTGTCCCAAATATTTATTGCAGATGGATGAGCCATGAAGATGAAGAGAGCTTATGATGTTCTACTAAGACGCTGGTCCAAGAGGAGAATGAATTAAATTTCTGTGGATGGATTTTGCTCTTGCAGACTGCCTATTCATCTTGCTTATTTCACCTCCGCAGGTCTGTCTCCTTCAGGCAAACATGGATGGGGAACGGAAAGGCAGCGACCATTGATCTTTTCATTTTCCTTTCTATTTCAGGAGATGCAGCCGACTCTTAGACGCAGACTAGACTCAATCGCCCAACGCTGTCCATTCCTCAGAGCTAGGAAGTCACTAGAAAAGGTGAGCAGCAGGTGGGAGCAGGGGGGCCTTGCACTGCAAAGGCTGCTGGGAGAATCACAGAGCTCTTTGGTGTGCTTTCTTTTGGAATCCTGGCTGGATGTGTGAGGCCAGTGCAGGCCCCACACCTTCCTGGCTAGGATTGCTCCGATGTTGCATCGTCATTCCGTCCACTCCCAAGTTCAGCCTTCTGGTGCCGTTGCCAAAGCAGCCAATCGGCCTCTCTCAAGCTAGGAAGGGAGGCATCCACACGCCTGGAGCATCCCAAGGTTGCTGAAGAACAGCAGAGCCCTTGGGGTGTAGCCCTACTCCCCCAGAACAGCCCAGTGAGGGCCGAGCGGCTGGAAACCTGAAGAAACAGCACCCAATTGCTCGCCTACAGTTGCGCCACAAAACACGTCACCTCATTGCAGCCATCCTTGCGATGGTGAGATAAGAACATAAGGAAAGCTGGGTTGGATCAGAGCCTTGGGAGCTCCTCAGAATCCCGTTGGGTTTTAACTGCCTTGTTGTTGTTAGTTGCAAAGTCGCGTCCGACCCACTGCGACCCCATGGACAACATTCCTCCAGGCCTTCCTGTCCTCCACCATCCCCTGGAGTCCACTCAAGCTCACACCAACTGCTTCAGTGACCCCATCCAGCCACCTCATCCTCTGTCGTCCCCTTCTCCTTTTGCCATCAATCATTCGCAGCATCAGAGTCTTCTCCAGGGAGTCCTTCCTTCTCATTAGGTGGCCAAAGTATCTGAGTTTCATCCTCAGTATCTGAGCTTCTGAAGAGCAGTCAGGGCTGATCTCCTCTAGGACTGACCGGTTTGATCGCCTTGCAGTCCAAGGGACTCGCAGGAGTCTCCTCCAGCACCGCAATTCAAAGGCCTCAATCCTTCGGCGCTCAGCCTTCCTTATGGTCCAGCTTTCACAGCCATGCATTGCAACTGGGAAAACCGTAGCCTTGACTATACGCACTTTTGTTGGCAGGGTGATGTCTCTGCTTTTTAGTATGCTGTCTAGATTTGCCATAGCTTTCCTCCCCAGGAATAAGCGTCTTTTAATTTCTTGGCTGCAGTCCCCGTCTGTGGTGATCTTGGAGCCCAGGAAAATAAAATCTGCCACTACCTCCATTTCTTCCCCATCTATTTGCCAGGAAGTGAGAGAACCAGATGCCATGATCTTCAACCCCCTAATAGAGAGGATAGAGGTGTTTAAAATTCCACATGGAGTGGAGAAAGTAGAGAGGGAGAGATTTTTCTCCCATGACACTAAGACCCAGGGTCATCCCGTGAAACATAGAAACAGAACAAGTCAGAAGGGGCCTCCCAGGCCATCTAGTCTGACCCCCGGCTCCAGCCGGCTCCGCTCACGACATGCCCACCATGTGCATGTCCAGCCTATCCTCGAGCATCCTCACTGATGGGGCCTCAATGAAGCTGATTGGTAGGAGGTTTTGGACAGATCACTTGATCCAACGTAGAGTAAAATTATGGAATTTGCTGCCGCAGGAAGTGGTGAGGGCAGCCAGCTGGGAGGACTTGAAAAGGGGCTGGGCAGATCCATGGGGGAGGAGGCTCACGCGGCATGTCATGAGAGGGCCACCTAGCACCATCGTTATTTGCTTTTTGGCGCCAGGCCAAGACCTTTTTATTTAAACGCTATTCTAATTGTTAAGATTTATTTATTGATTTTAAACTGACCAGGCTGTTTCTACTATTTTATGTATTTATATGCGGGATTTTAATGGTTGTAAGCCGCCCCGAGGCTTATGCGAAGGGGGAGGCATATAAGCTGTCTAGATAGATAGATAGATAGATAGATAGATAGATAGATAGATAGATAGATAGCCTTGCTGGCTATGGGCTTCCTCCTTTACTGGAGGCAGCCTGCCTGCATGTCCCAGTGGCGGAGGAGCTTGGCCAGGAGGAGGTCTTGCACCCATCATGCTACAGGGGTTCTCTGGGCATCCTGCTTACCATCATGTATATGGAGTGCTGGACTAAAAGGCCCTTTGGGTTGATCCAGCTGGGCTTTTCTGATGTTATGTTCCATTGGGTCTGACTTCCTCTTAGATCCTGACCCGCATCTCCAGGCTCATCTCATGTCACTCCAGCCCAGTCTCGACCAAGGACGAGGACGGCTTCCTTACCTGAAAAGTAGTCCTCAAGCCACCTCACCAAGAGCCAGCAGGAAACACTCACATTCTGACACACAAGCTGCCCCTGAAAGATGGCCGGATCTCTGTCCGGGTTCTGCCTTTGCTGTTTGACGGAAGACCAGCCCCTTGAAATTGGTTTCCTATTAGCTTCCAAATAGATGGCCTGGGGGCAGGAGGGGATCATATAAAATACAGTCAAGAAAGCACTCGGGGGAAATGACTTCGGTTGCTAGGAAGAAAGTGCCGTTGCTGGCACTCTGCCAACGCACCTGTGAACTCTCCGTGACTCCTTCCCAGGGAAAAGCGGAACCTGGTCACTCTGCAGCGCTGGAGTCGGGAGCGTGTACATCATCCCACTGAGTGCTGCAGGCGTGAGAGGTGCAGTCCAGGGCTCTTCCAGGCCTGGGTTCGAGGTTTGCGGTTTGCAAAGCTTGTCCAGTAGCACATCCTCCACTTTCTTAAGGTAGGAGCATCTGTTTAGGCTCCCAGGGTGAGAAGGGCCTTCGCCATCGATGATCTTGCTTGGGTGAGTCCCACCTCTCTGGCGGGAGCTCGGTTCCCCCTTCTCTCTTCCAAAGCCACAGACTGACTCTTTAGCTCTTTATCCTCCAGTGGAAAGCCGGCAGCATATAGCCCGCAAAGTAGTAGTCCCTGGGCATGCACAGAGTGGTTTGTTGAACTAGAAACTACATCTGAGAGCTTCCTTTTTGAGTAATCCTGGACTGTGCCCTTCTGGAAGCAGGCACGCCATGCCATGGGGTCAAGGATCAGACCAGATTCGTCTGGCTCCCGGGACTTCTGTCCCATGAGCCCTGCCAGCACTTGCAGATCCTGACTAATCTCAGGGTCCACCTGAGCACCTGGAGATGGCGGCCTTGAGATCTGTGCTTCCCCTTTATCATCTCCATGCCTGAAGGCTGCTTTCCAAGGGCTTATCCTCCCACCAAAGAATCCGTGTCATCCTGGCCCTGAAACGCATGCCAAGAACAACTGCCTCTTTCATTCCCAACATGCCCCACCCTGGCTACCTAATCCTTTTACCTGCTTGTGCCCAGGTTGCGTGTTCTGCCAACAAGCTGTTTCCCCAGCTGAATTTAAGAAAGCGTAGGAGAGAGGGAGGAGGGGAAAGAGAAGGAAGATAGAAATGTTGCACACAGTTTTGTTAACTCCTCTCCTTTTTGGTGCCAAATCTTCAACCACTCGTGAAAGAACAAAACAAGAAGGATCTGCCAATTCAAAAAGCACCTCCTCGAGCAGGTTTAATTCACCCACAAGTCCACTGCATGGCTAGTTTCACTCACAGGAATCAGCCCAGAAAATTTGTCCTAGCTTTAAATTGTTTGTCTGTGATTTGCACAGAATACAATTGGCTATGCCTCCTTGCTAGGATCACAGATCGCCTGGGATCGCTGGAGGAAGGAAGACCACCCGGATGAATGGAAGGAAAGGGGAATGGTCCAAAAGCAGCAATGGATTTAGGGTAGGAATGAAAGGACCACATTTCCAAGAGACAGGATTTCAGGAAGAGGTATTTCAGCTCCCTGAAAAACACCATTCCTCTTGGAAAATGAAACAGCTGGACATTCAACAGAGACTAAACAAGCATATGTTCCTACATTCAAAGCCAGAATCAGACAAATTTATCCTCCTGTTCAGGGTTAGTACACAGCAAGTGGTCTTATTTCTGAAGGATATCCAGCAACCCAATTTTGTACAGATTGTGCTATATCAGGTCTCCAAAACCCAGCCAGGGACTGTCATTCCACACAACATCCCTTCGCCCAGGTTGGACTCTAACACTTTCCTTGCCCACCAAAAATGGTGATGAGAGCTAGACACAGAAGGGCACCTGTGTTCTCCCTACCTGAACAACAGGCAGAAATCCAACTGGTTTCCTGGCATAGAGACTCAGGAAGGGTGGGAAACTCAGCCATGGGAAGGTTGCTCCTCCTCTTGTATACTTTTAACACCACAGGAGCCCCTGCAAGGAGGAAACTGGGGCGATGCAGAACTGTGAAAATCCAGACCAGCATCCATTCTTGCTTTCCCACTCTCTTGGGGTCACCCAGTCCCAGCCGCTGGAATGCAGGAGTCCCAAGTGGTGGATATTCTGGACTCCAGCTAGAATGGGTGATGACTAGAGTGATGGGAATGGTAGTCCAAAGCTTCTGTCAGGTACCAGTTTGGGAAGGCTGTCTATACAGCTGTAAACCCCTCAGAGAGCTTTGCCTATTGGGTGACATAGAAATTAAATAGATAAATAAACCAAGCAATTCTACAGATTCACACATAAATACATCCTGCTGCTTCCTGAGCTACGGCTGCTAATCCTCTTCCTTCCCCACCTTTTTCCTTTCGTGATGTGGTGTTTTATATCGAAAGCCTGAGGCAGGCAATCTGATGTTTTCCTGACTGCATGTGTGTGTGCCTTATTATACTTAAAGGCTCTATGGCAGCCTTTCCCAACCTGGTGGCCCACAAAGGCATTTGGACCACAACTCCCAGAATTCCCATCCAGTAGGCATTGGCTGGGAATTCTGGGTGTTGCAGTGAAACATGACTGGAAGGGAAAGGTTGGGGAAGGCACCTCTTTGCTGCTTGTGTGTGTCCATGGCACCATCTGTGGGCAAAAATGTGCAAGTCTTGCTGGAATGATTTTGGGCATCAGGAGGTGGCTGTCCAACCTTCATTTTTTCCCTCAGCAGTCAGGCTGGTACAATGATTTAAATAAGTTCAAAAAGCAAAACTGCATTGCATAGAATTATAGAACAATAAAGCAACGGCCCAGAAGTCCACCCAATCAGTGTGACTCAGGAAAAACCATCGTACGGCAGATACTGAATTTGCATTTGGGATTCTCAGAAATCCAAATCCCTTTGAATTTCGTGTGGATTCCTCCGACATCCCGGCAGCATGCTCCTCAGCACACTATCTGACCACGAATTCACACAATAGCTTTCAGGATCTCAGAAAAAGGTCAACAGCACTTCAGCCTCTTCAGAAATAATATTTCAACAACACAGAAGCTAGGAAGGGTCCATGCAGTAGCTTCTTCCTTCCAGTATCCACAAAATTGCTGTAGCAAAAGCACCCTCTTGTGGATTCTAGCTGCACCAGCATCTAACAAGATTTGAGATTTCTTTGGGGGCTGCTCTATTGAATTAGAGGTGCGAGTCAAAAATCCAACCGGGGTGATAAACTTGCAGTTCTGGCATCAGAACCCAGAGCCTCTCCTCCTAAGAGCAGAACTGATCTCCCACTTGCAAACCCTGAGGAAACGGCTCCATGGAATGGAAAGAGGCCCAAAGCAGCACTCATACGGTTCTGGCAGTACTTGGTGCATCCCAGATTTGATTGGCTAGCTGTACAGGAAGCCGACAACCACTCAGGCGAGCCTGTGTGTGTTTCCCTGTGAGCAAACTGTGCTGTATTCCATAGGACTTACCTCCAACGAGGACAGCGCCATGTTTTGCAGCATCTTGAAGACTATAAAATACTGCTAAGTTGCACATGGGTGCCTTCCAACCCCACATCGCAGGGTTAAGAACTTTTGCTCAGGGTTCTGGCTGGCTAACTCAGGCAGAAAAGGGGCAATTCCATTCCAGAGGTGGCTACAGCTTTGCCCCCAGAGAAAAGGGATCTTCTCACAAAAAAGAGGAACAGACTTGCAGTCGAGACTCACTGTGACAGAAAGCACAAAACACTCTATTTTGAAGCAAATTATTTCCTCACTAGGACTGCATTCCAACAGAGAGTGCCCTCAGAGCTTCCTCTAAGTCTCCAAACTCAGAGGCTTCTGAGCAGCCAATGCAGAGTAGAGGGGCTCACAATAGTCCCCGTATTGAGAGGCAGTGTGGCGTAGTGGTTAAGAGCATGGGAATGGGACTCAGGCGATCTGGGTTCTAGTCCCTGCTCAGCCATGGAGCCCACTGGGTGACTTTGGGCCAGTCACAGACTCTCAGCCCAACCTACCTCACAGGGTTGTTGTTGTGGGGATAAGCTGGAGGAGGAGAGATGATGTAAGCTGCCTTGAGCCCTTTGTAGGAAAAAGGCAGGATATAAATCAATCAATCAATAAATAAATAAGTATTCTGTATTTCTCCAGCCAGATCTGGCTTTTGAGAGGAAGAGAAGAAAGCTAGCTGGCAGCAGGATATCTCATATATGGGTCACCCCAGTCTCCTCCTCTCCCTGTGGTTCCTTTTCCGACCTTGGAGAAGCTGCTGGCACAGCAGAGGAAAGCAGAGTGAGTATTCTCAACTCCAAGGATGGTGTTCTGTGAGGGTATCACAAACAGAACTTGTTAAGAAACGCACCAGAGATGGGAAGGCCATCATTATGAGGACAAGTCCCTGCTCAAACAGGAAACTGTTTATAGCACTTCCTGTCAGAAGGGCCCAGTGGCCAGCTGGACTGGACAGGGCCAACCCCAACACTGAGAATACTTCAATAGCAAAATGTTCCAAGCTGCAGTTCCTTGTCTTCTCACATGGGGGAGTCATGCCCAACACAGAAGGCCGCCCTTCTGGCCACTGCAGCTCAGGACAGGGGACAGAAAGTCGAGCAAGGTCTCTGAGAAGAGAAAACAGGGCTCACTCATCCACCACTGTGCTGGAAGTTTTAGGGTTATATGACTATTGGGGGCGGGAAGCATCCCTGCATCTGCAACCCCTGGACTTCCCTCTTTAATCCCTACTTTATCAGCTGTGGGTTGGGAAGAAAATAAGGACCATTTCTCATCTCCCCACTGCTATCATTTCATGCTTTACAACAGCTTCTTCATTCCCGATATTTTCAAGCAACAAACTCATACAAATCAGCCAAATATGGTCACAGAAAAAATATATATACTAAATAAAGCTGTAGTTCTGCATTCTGAATTTATTTAAATCATTGTACCAGCCTCCACCTAGGAAAAAGAAACCAAAGGCATCAATACAAGATGGGGAATATATAGCTTAATAGAACTGAAAAGGAAAAAGACCTTGGAATAATTGTGAACAACAGGCTAAATATGACTCAACAATGCAACGCAGCTGCAAAAGGGGCAAATGCTATTTTGGGATGCATTAACAGAAGTATTACTTCCAAATCATGAGAAGAAGTAGTTCCTCTATACTCCACACTAGTCAGACCTCACCTGGAATCCTGGGTCCAGGTCTGGGCACCAAGATTTAGGAAAGATGCAGAAAAATTAGAAAGGGTTCAGAGGAGGGCAACAAAAATGATCTGGGGTTTGGAAAGACTGCCCTTTGAGGAGGGACTGAGAGAACTGGGCAAGCTCGGCCCTGATAAGAGAAGACTGAGGGGACATGAGATCCCTCTATAAGTACCTCCAAGGCTGTCACAAAGAGGAAGGTCAAGATCTCTTCTTCCTAGTAACAGAGTGCAGGGCATGGAATAATCAGTTCAAGGTGAAACAACCCAGATTCAGGCTGGACATCAGGAAAAGCTTCCTCACTCTCTGAGCAATATAGCAGTGGGACCAGCTGCCTGGAGAGGTGGGGGGCTCTCCCACACTGGAGGCATCCAAAAAGCAACTGGGCAGCCATCTGAGTGGGATGGTGTGACTTGGTGTCCTGCAACAGCAGGGGGTTGGACCCGAAGGCCTTCTTGTCCCCTTCCAGCTCTACTCTTCTATGATTCTATTAACTGCTGGGGGTGGGGATGAAGCTAGCACAGCCAGCTCCTGCTTCTAAAATAAGTACAGGTTTGTTTGTTTTTTAAGTTGGTTCCACCAGGCAGCGCCAGCCTTACTGGGCTCCAAGGTGCTGCTATGGAGCTTGCTGGCCACTGGCTTTCTGCCCTGGCCTCTGCTGGAGATGTGTGGGGGCCCCAAGCTGCAGGGCCAGCCCTGGTCACACCACTGGTCTGCTGGCTTTGAGCACAAATCCTCGCACCCATGCCGAAAGACCGCTGAAAGTTTCCCGGGACCGAGCAGCAGAAAGCTTAACAGCAAGGCGCGGTGGGTTCCACCCAAGCAGACCCCCACCCTGGCCAAGGCCTTTGCTTCATTCATTCTGTACTGCCTGGGAAACGAGCAAGTCAGAAAGTTGCTGAGCTCATGTGCGAGCAAGAGCAGGAAGGGCGCTAGCTGAGAAACACCTCCCCGGTGCTGAACTACTTCTGACACAGGCTGGCCGGGTGGGGCCCGCGATTTCTGTGGCCACTCCTGGCTCTCACAAGTGCGGTTCTTCTAAAAGAAGCCGGAATGGTGAAGCGGTGGCTTGCTGTTCCCCTGTGATGGTTTCACTTCCCACACACATTCAGAAGGGCCACGCTCATAGCTCTCTCTCATCAGCCTCGTGGGTTTGGCCTCCAATATCGCATCCATGGCAGAGTTTTGGGGTGCGTTGTTGGCCAAATGTTCTCCTCCACCCTCTCCAGCAATCTAACAGAGGATTCCATGAGCCGGGGTGGGAAAACCATGTGGCCTTCGGGATAATTTCAGGTGTACCTTGGCCTAATTCCGTGAGTCATTTGTAAACTCTCCATCCAGACTTGTGGTCTGTGCCTCCCTCCAGCAGCATGATGGATGAGGAAGAAAGAAAGAGAGGAAAAGAAAGAGAGAGAGAGAGAGGTGTCCAAAAGAGAAAAGGCAGAGAAGAAAAGGGTGCTCCCGGTCCCTTTTAGCTTTGATCTTTCTCACACGGGCTTCATGCACCCATCACCACGGCTGACGTGCTCCCCTTGACTGATTACTACTGACCAAATCTGGACATCAAGGAGGAGAAAGTTCTGCACCCTTTCCTGGAGATCCACCACCAGAAATGTTGTGGTTTAAGAACGGAAGTGTCCGCCCAGTGGTGGAACCTGCCTCGGCCATGGACACCTCTGCCACGTGGACGTTCTCTGTGCAGCCAGACATTTGGTGTCACACACAGTGCGTAGAACCTTGCAAGAGGGGCCACCACCAGCCCGACCATGCAGGAGATCAGTCCTCACCCAACCCTCTGTGCTCAAGGCAGGGCCTTCCATACTCTGGACCTGAGACAGTGGGGCTCCTTCCCAGCCCAAAGCGTGGGGATCACTTAAACTCCGAACGTAACCCAAATGGGTTGAATGACTCCCCCAAAGCGAAGAGGGGGCAACTAACAGTCTTGGCTGTTTATATGGGACCAATAATAGCATGTTCCAATGTGGCCCACTTGCTTGAGGCTACGATCCCAGAAACACTGATCTGAAAGCAAACCCCAATAAACTGGATGGGCCT